CGGGCAGCCGTGAGCGGAGTGAGCCCTGGCCGTTGCTCGGGGCAGTGTTTGTATTTATGCGGAGGAAGGTGACGGGTTTCCCGTTACCGGCCCCCGGAGGATGAACACCGATATTAAAATTACTAATCGTGAAGAGAGCAGCTCCCCCTGCTCTCTGGAGAAGGCTGTAGTGCAGTGCGGTGGGTCCCCAGAGCGGTGCTATCACCCCACCCCGGCTGAGGTAGCCCCTGAGAAGTGAAGTCCCTTGGTGGTGGTAGACAACAGTGAGAACTAACGAGGGTAGCTCGTTGCGAAAAAGGAGGATGAAGTCACTGGACATCCTGCAGTATTAACTCCTACACCTGCTTCAGAAAGGTTTATGCTGCGTCATTGGGTGGAAGGGGAAGGCTGGAGTTGGGCTCTGGAGATCACCAGGCACTGAGCTTTCTGAAGCTGACAAAACAGCAGTTCAATCTGCAGAAAGAATACTGTGCTGTATTCCACTAAACATCCCACTTACCCCAGTCTCAATCTGTTCATGGGTACAGCGAGGAGAACTGGGCTTGGTCATCGAGGTGATATGTTTTAGCTCTCAGGTCTAGAAGAAACCTGTTTCCTCCTTCCCCTCAGTTTGCAAGGTCCTGCTTGCAAATCTTTAGGGGACTGCAGAAGAACTTAATCTGGAAGTGTAGAGACAAAGACTTGTAATGCTCTAAATTACCCAGGGCGTGTTAAAACAGTAGGCGTAGAGCCTTTCTCAGCATCTACTATTAGGGCCAGACTTCTGGTGAACGCAGCTAGACAACACCTTTGTCTGAAGGGCAAATGCATATATCCAGTTAAATAAGGAAGCTAATGCCTTCAATGCAAATCTAATCAGAGAGGCATATATTCTACCTTAGCAAGCTTTTCCAGTTGATTGCAGTCATGTTTTTCCTGACAAAAATGGATTAGAAGTAGATTGGGAGAGCATTCTGAAGAAATACTTTTTTCTCTTACTAACCCTCGGAAATGTCCTGTATCTTTCTACCACAGTTTATCTAACCTAGGTCTGTCAGAATTGTTTCAAAGATGCTGCTGTGTAATGGCTAACTATTAGGTCTTAACTGGAGTTGAATTTCTCCTGTGTGGATGGAGTCCCGTAAAACCACTCCTAGTATTTAGGCACATCAGTGTCTTCAAATCCAGTATAGATGTCCAAAGACTGCACATGGAATTGAAATTGCTTTCCATCAGAGATAACCTCTTCAGCAGAGTTATTTACAGAAGATCATCAAGACACAGGAGTCAGTCATGTATGCTGTTTGCCCAAAAATTAACTGCCATGTTAATCCGAGTGCAACTTCTCATCATCCTTCATTTGCACTTAGTGGATTTTGGTAGCTATTACAATAAGTCTTCACACATTGATAAAGCCACTTTTACTGTGTTCATGTTTAAAGTTTTCAGAATGACTTCCCTGGTTGACATGCCCTTGAATTATGAAAAGATGTTTGCTCATCGATTCACATCAGATGATGAAGAATACCAAGAATATCTGAAACGCCCTGCAGATCCCCCTCCTATAGTTGAAGAATGGAGAAACAGATCTGGTGGCAACCAGAGAAACAGAGATCGGTACTGATTTCTTTCTTTTTTATTTTTTATCTTGGTAATTTCACAAATATATAATTAAATGATCATGTATTTCAGAAGAAAGATAGGAATTTGTTCTGTTAATGGAAGTATCTTGTTACTTCATAGGTAACTATTTTAAGAGAAATAGTCTTCTCTGAAAAGTAATGAGGTTTTACATTTTTTCTGTATTGATACTTGGAGTTTTTGCATTGTGTATGAAGTTATTAAGTAATTTACTTTTTATTAAGGAATGAGCCAGAACCACAGAACTCATTTCCTCAGGTTACTGATCATCAGAGGGGAAAGATGAGAGTTCTGCAAAACTAAGCAGCCTATCTACTGTGGGATAATAGCCAGCAGGAAAATGTGTGAAGGGGCAAGCTAATAGCAGTGATTGTCTGATGCTAGGTGTCCACAAAATGTTTCATTTGTAACCTAAATATTTGCTGTACTTTGTTAAATTATCCTGTACTACTTTTATCTAGTAGGCATAAGTGTAAAATCCATCATCCAATCTGTCTAGCAAGTGCAATGTTACCTGCCTACTGCAAAATACTTTGAATTACTTCAGGATGTAATTGCAGCTTTTTACTGAACTTTGGACAGTAACATCTGGTTTATGTGTGACTGAAAAACGATTACAGCATATAGTATGTTTGCTAAAAAAAAAGTGATTTTTTTAAAGGGATTTTCTTACAGAAATTTGTGGTTCTTTAAACTAATGAACTCTTACACTCTGGTCACAAAGCAAACCTCATGGACATGTTTGTCTATGCTACACCACTGAGATAAGCAAAGAAAATGACAGTGAGGCAGCTCAAGTGTTGATAGGAATGAAGATAACAGCTGAAAAACCAAAATTTAGAGTGAACAATAGCTAAATACCATCGATAAGATAGTCTCTTGAGTATGGGTATCTAAAAGAGCCTATGAAGCAGTGGTTGTATGTATTTTAGGGAATATGGAAATTCCAGGACTATGTTGTCAGGTAACTAAATTGTACTTAAGCCTGCTTTGCCACAGCTTTCAACCATGAAGCTACTAGATTAAACCTGGCTTTGATGCAGCAGGATGTATCTTACGGTTGTTTTTTGGATATATGGTCTGTTCGAGTCTCTTCAAAGTTCCAGCAGTTCAGCTTATCCCTGTGAATACTGTGTGTTAGGAAACAGACTGTCCTCCCATGGCTTAGCAGGCAGCGTGCTGGGTATTAGTAAGAAATTAATGAATGATCTCAGATGACTCTAGATATGTTCTCATCAGTTTGTCATAGAAACATGTAAGTAATTCAGTGTATCAACAGTTACGTGACAGTTTACATGAAAACTATAAAATTTAAGAGTTCATTATCATTCATCTTTTTTAAAAACCTCACCATTTAAGTGACTCTCTGACTTTTCATTGCAGGTTTCAAGATGGTAGATACTTTAGAGGAGACAGATACAACTGGCAAGGTGACTACAGATCTAATCAGAGGTCGGAAAGGAGTTGGGGTAATAACTACCAGCAGCACAGACAAGGGCAGTCGTATTCCTCCCACTACGGACAATATGGCTACAACTCCTACAACCCAGGGTCTCGTTACCATTCCTACTGATGATACTTGTGCTCTGGAAGTCCAGTAATGCTATGTAACAAATTCAGTTAGACAGTTTTCTTACGTTCCCACAGTTTTATAGATCACTCAAGAATTAGTATTACAGTCCATCACTGTTTATCTGTAGTGTGAATTGAAAAAGAGAATACCTTTTGTGAGTAAAAAAGCATATTATTCGGAGTTTGTTTAGAGTCTGTAGATCTTAGATTAATTTTCTAACTCATTCTTTTGTCTGAATACACATTAGTGCACTTCTTTTCTTCCATCATTGAGATTTCTCTCTGTTTCATTTTAGGAAATACAACAGGCCAGGGGAAAATAGCTGTGGTTTGCGTGCAGCCTGTAGCAATGGCACATTGCCTTAAGATAGTTCTTTTTTGAAAGTGACATTCTGTGTCTTTGTCTGGAGAGAATTTCTTAGTTGGCTTTTGATAGTGAGAAAAGCTCAGTTTGGTTTGAATTTCACATGCCTTAAAACTGAGAAGAGAGGTGCTATTACAGAAATACTTCATGGGGTCAGTGTAGTGTCCTTTGACTCAATGGCTTTGATTGATTTGCAGATTTCCTTTTAAAACATGGTCTAAAAGTTTGAATAAAAATTAAGTAGTTTAAATATGTATCTTCTGATTGTAGTAGGTCAGTGATGTACAAGTTTTACTTGAGAAGTGATATCAGACTTAGATTAATTTGTATTCAACCTCTATTAGATTAATTTGTATGGTCTTAAATTTGGTATGTGCATAACAAATATTGGAATTCCTATTTCAGTAAAGCTGTAAAATTTTGATGATAATTGTGATTACTTTATGTGAAACACTGTGCATGTTATAGAAGAAGGGAACTGTAATTGGTACTGTTCTGTACTTCTTTTGCATGAGAAAAATAGCAGTGCAGAATGTTCTGCAGTTCTTATGATTTAAGTTCTGTGTGTTATCTTTTTTGTAAGTATCACACAATAAAAGTATAGTTCATGTGTGAGGATGTTTCTGTGTATTTCTGAAACCTAATTTTGAAACACTGGCAGTTGCTACACTGTCATCTAGGCTGACTGCCCTATGAGAAGCAGTACCAGCAGGGAAGTGTTAATACTGCACAGCTGTTGGTTTAAGTTAGAAGAAAGGCCTACTCAGCTACAACCAAGAGGATGAGATACCCTGTGATTAATTAGAAGTCTGGAGTGTTAATCCACTATCTGACATTCTACTGTAATAGGGTCAAAGATCTCTATTTCACCATTTACACAATAAGCTAATTTGCATCAGGAGAGCAGTGCCTTTCTTTTTACTTGACATTTTCTTCAGCTGTTGTACAGAAACACGGAACCATCACGCTGACTGTTACAGAAGTCATGACATTATGTGATAAGGAGCACAAATTAGTGCACCTGGATTTAAAAACAAAGAATTAATAGAGAAGTCAAAAGCACAGTCTTCCAGCTCATAAGATGCAGTTAAGAGCTGTATATAGATTTTCCAGTCTGTGAGACAAAAACTGTGACGTGTCTCCACCTACCCACCAAGTATTTCTGCTTTCTGCCTCTCACATAATATTGTTTACTCTGATACAGTGTTTAATATCTTACTCCCTGAAGTATTTGCCTCGAATTCAGCTGTTTAACCTGAGAAATCTTCTAGCAAGAGGTTTGTTTTTCTTCAAGGAGTTCTGCTGGATGAAATGCACCTGGTTTAACCCTCATTAATACAGCAGAGCTATTACACTGGAGGATTAAGATCATGCAAAGTTCTTATCTGTGCACTATGGAGAGCCTACAAGTTGGTACGGTGGAATTCCCTTTTAATGCAAAATCATACACAAAGTGACAGATATCCCAGACTCCCACCTCCAAGAAGGGAGTGCATCTCTTTCTGCAAGGAGCCTGACACTGCCAGCTATGCCACAAAAGTGAGGCTGTGCCAGGATGTTGTTCTTCCTTACCATCTGGAGTAGCATCTCGGGTTGAAATAAAACCTGGCACTAGGAACAGATTCTGTCTCAGCTGCTGCCTTTCCTCAAGCCCAGTAACTTTTATTTTTAGTGTCTTTAAGCTAGTGAATAAAGAATCATGGAATGGTTTGGGTTTGAAGTGACCTTAAAGCTCATCCAGTTCCAACTGCCTGCCAAGGGCAGGAACACCTTCCACTAGACCAGATTGCTCCAAGCCCTGTCCAACCTGGCCTTGAACACTGCCAGGGATGGGGCAGCCACAGCTTCTCTGGGCAACCTGTGCCAGTGCCTCACAACCCTCACAGTGAAGAATGTCTTCTTTAAGCTTAAAGCCATTCCCCCTCGTCCTGTCACTACATGCCCTTGTAAAAAGTTCCTCTCCAGATTTCTTGTCAGCTCCCCTTAGGTACTTGAAGACTGTTACAAGCTCTCCCCGGAGCCATGTCATCTCCAGGCTGAACAACCCCAACTCCCTCAGCCTGTCTTCATAACAGCGCAGTGAAGCATTCCAAAAACGCCAGGTGTTGTAGTATTACAGAAAATAACAAAACCAATCTACAACGTTGTGGCTAAACTATAGAAGCGGATAGATTAGGATGGCCTAAGAGAAAGTTATGAATTAGAATCACACATTTCATGATGTCAACTCTCTTATTTCTGAGTTTCTCAACTGTGAGACCAGGAAAGACATGGGCCAGCGCAACTTCCTATTTTCCGTATTTACATTCTTAACTCCATCTGCCTCACCATTAGAGCTCTCCATTCCACTTTAAGGACCTGTATTATTTATAAAACTTTTCCTTGGAATAATTATTGCAAGATTCTAATTTTGGGGGAGGGAATACATTTCTAAATAAACACATGCCTTGTAGTGGACAGAAAAGTAAATAGAATTCAGAACATATTACCTCCAGCAGTTTCCACTTAGATGGATTAGTATTTTTATGATAAAGTCCAGTTTACTGTTTTTGTCAGCTAAATAAAGCCAGTAAGTACTGCCTGCAGTTATGCTTTGTGCAATACAGCGTGTTACAGATCACAAAACTGATGCTGGGTAGCTTTAACATTTGCAACTTCAAACATTACAGAAATTGTTTGCTTTAACTATGCTGGAGATTGCAGGGTAAACATTAAAATTCAGTGTCTGGAATCTGGCTTTAAGAGATCTCTTCCATCTGACATTTGCTCAGACATCATTATTATCATGAATAAAAGAAAGGTGTTATGTATTAAAAAATGACTGCCACGTTACCAAGAGTTTGAACACCCCAGAAGTTCTGAATACAGCTCTTGCAGCAGTTCTAAATCCGTTCCTGCACACACACACACACACACAGCACTTTTGTATGGACTGTTAATTGATACTGAAGAATTATCATGTTAAATTACAGGTGCTGTGACAAACAACTAAGAAAAGCCAGGAGCTTTTATACAATACTTGCAGGCAAATGAAAGTGCACAGTAAAAAAAAAAAATAATAAAATCATCTTTGTGTGATTTGTGAGATACAGTTTTACAAGCGTTCACTGCTATTCAACCTCTATTTTATCCTAGTGCTGCAGCTGGGAATAGAAATGTGCAGACGTGCTTTGAAAGGTTAGAAGCTGAAGTACTTTCAAAAGGTTCTCTAGCAGAGATTCAGACAGGGAAGACAAGCATCATTTCTGATCTAATCAACATTCAACTTCTAGAACAAAGAAGATATTTAATCTACTGTTTAAATATATTTGAATATATTGCAGCAGTTATATATTTGAATATAGTTATATATGTGAATATATTTAAACTTGTACTATTAATTTGCTAACAAATATTCTGCTTCACGAAGAAACATGTTCCCATTTGCTTCTGATACTTCTTATGCTGAGATGTTGGAAGGAAAATTCTTTTTGTACTCAATTTGATAGGCTCACCTGCCACCACCACTATTCCTTACAGGAAAACAATTGGAAAAGCCTCTGAACTACACTCTGGGTGAATGTTGTTCACTGGGCCAACTTGTGCAGTCGCACCTCTAACTCTGACAAACAAGAGGGGATAGGAACATGGAGCAAGGAGGAAAACTGGACTGCTTCTTACAACAGTTACTGAGCACCTTACAGCAATTGAACAGAACTGCACGTCCCTTGCTTTTCATTTGGCAATCAGGAAAAATTACTATAATCTGTCCCCTTGTCCCTATGTGTTAGAAGAGAGCTATATAGCACTGCTTGAATTATGCATAGCATTGATACTCTAATGATCAGAAGCTAAGCAAGGTTATAGTGCAGATCAGGCTTCCCTGGAAGTACCCAAGATACATGCAGCCTGGCTCGAGACACGGAGGTAAATCCTAGAGATAAGCCAGAGTCCAGCGGCTCCAGCACTGCCAGGAGAGTAGATGGCAACTGTGCTGTGGTGGCACACAGTGCTCTTGCCTCTCAAGATGATTTTTCATTAAGCCCCGCAGGCTGGAATTTGTTTTTGTGTTTACCATGGCCTATATTTTTCTTCAGTAAAGCACAGACTGCACTTAGCGGTTGTCAGTCCTCATTTGTGTATGCGAAACAGTGATGCCAAACTGTTACTTCTATATAGCTCACCCCCTATGTACTCTGTCCTTATAAAATGCAGATTTATTGCAAGAGATGGGGAAAGTTGCCAATAACTGTATTTTACTCTAAGTCTAATAAACACGCAACAGGATAAATCACATTGCCATCCCTAATGGCTGTCTTTGTGTGATTAGCAGGAATACAAATGAATGTTGTCTTCTTCCTAATGCAGAGATACTTGCATTTCACATAACACTTCAGCAGCTGGATGACTTTTTTTCCCCACAAGTATGGGCTGCCTTCTTTTTTCTTTTATTTTCTTTTTTTCTGCATATTGTGCAATTCAGACTTTGTTTCACTAATAAAAGATGTATCAAAAGCAAGTATCAAAGCTGCTCCTGATCACCAAAGGAAAAACTTCAACTCACCTTTCAAACAGGTAAGAAAAGAACTTATTTGCTATAAAACTACAAAAATAACCAAGGACCAACTTTATCCATGAAAAAATAATCCTCAAGGATTTGAGCAACATCTTCAAACTGAAACGTGTTCCATGTTAAAAGAATGATTAAGACACTAAGCTTTTTCAAAGCTCTTGTTCAGGGCGAGGAACGACAATTTGGTATTTATATACCCACATAAATTAAATACTTAATATTACAATCAGTACTGTTAAGGTAAAGGCTAAAACCCCAAGCATACTATTAGAAGTTTCACATAGCTTTTGGCCACATGTTCCAAATTTAGCATGATCAGAGTTGATAAGAAAGTGGATGGTCTTTGATCAAAGTCATGTCTGAAGTTTGTTTCTGAAAAAATGCTTGAAATGATACATTTTCTATTGAAAATGTGCTCAAGAAAAATAAAGTCATGGTAATAATTGCCAAGTGCAACCAGCCCCAAGTGATTACACACTTTTTTTACAAAATAAAAAGAAAATTATTTTTTCCATAGCAAAGGCCTGTTTAAGTTTTACCTTTCATCAAGCAGGGTCATCGAGTC